GTAATTTCTAGTATAGTATAATTAATTATAAAGCAATTCCTATTATAATATAATTAATTATAAAGTAATTTCTAGTATAGTATACCTATATAATTAATTATAAAGTAATTCTTACTAAGTATAATTAATTATAAATTAATTTCTAGTATAGTATGCCTATATAATTAATTATAAAGTAATTCCTACTATAGTATAATTAATTATAAAGTAATTTCTAGTATAGTATACTTATATAATTAATTATAAAGTAATTCCTACTAGGTATAATTAATTATAAATTAATTTCTAATATAGTATACCTATATAATTAATTATAAAGTAATTCCTATTATAGTATAATTAATTATAAACTAGTTACTCTAATATATATATAGAATATTATTATACTAAGATATATAGTATATATATTAAGAATTAGTAGGGCTACCTTACCTAAGGGTTACTACCCTTAGCTAAACTCACTAAGGTACCCTTAGGTGAGGTGTATCCACATATATAATAGGTTGAAAAAAGCTTATCAGGAGAGGGTTTTAGAAGTGGGAGAGATAAGGAAAAATGCACGTGTGAGACGGACCACTGGCGGCGGCCCATGTTCATACGTCTGGGGCTAAGTTACCAGTATTCGCTTTGTTGTACTAAATATTGTCGAGTAATAATGGGTTTAATGGGTTGAATGGAGTCTTTGTACCGGAGACGTGGAAACGCGGCCGCGTGCTCAGGGTATTCAGGATGCATCGCTATTGGTCAGATGGGTTGTTGTCGATGGAACAAGCGACGTGACAGGGACGATCGCATCTTGCGTTGCTTGCCTCGTTTTGGTTAACGCTTGCGGGGAACTGTGTCTGTGCCGGTTACGGTCTCTGATGAACAAGGACGAAGATGAGTTGTGTGGCGGGGAACATGATGGATGTCCATGTTTTCACTAGTCTTTGGCCCCCCTCGACTAACTAACCGGGGTCGCCTTATCTCTGTCCATTCTTGTCTTTTGTTTGGCTGGCGCCGGACATCCCTTATCTCTATCGACGACTTGTCAAAAGGTTAACCGAGTCGGACCTTGTTGCGACCACCCGCTGCGCTCGCTCTTTTTGTTCGGCTCGGGCGGCGGCGTCCGAGTTGGTTGCCAGCGGAACAGCGACGGATGACGCGCATACCTGTGCAATACTATTGGGATACTGTATGCAACTATATCACTATATCATGGCAAAAATGACCGGACCTACGTAATGACGCCTTGGCGGCTCTGGCAGTACAGAGGGGGACCAGCGGCCAGCCAGTGGCCCATGCGGGATTGGGAATGCGTGTCCGTATTTCGCTCATTGTCAGTCTTTTTAAAACGGGTAACTCTTTTTTAATACTTTAATAATTCATAATTAATAATTAATGGGTAATAACGAATTATTGACGCAGTTTCGTAGATGCTGGTGGAGAACGGGGAGGCGCCGCCATAGATGCGCAGCACACTCGAACAAGCCCAGGCAGCAGCCATGACACCCAGACAAAAATAAAACGATGGACGGTGCCTTGCGACTATCGGAGCTTGTAGGCCTTGCCGAAGTTTACCTAGTTACATATCCTCGCATGTCGCCTGCGACCGAAGGGTCGCCCGCCGAAACTGGATACGCTTGCCTTGTCCCGTCTGTCTGGCTCCTCAGCTCCTCAGCTAACCTCCTTCTCTCTCCACCACCACCACTTTCCTTATCAGTTGCCTCAGATTGGATAGATTCCAAGTAACGTCCCATGTTGGTACTAAACCCCTTCCTTCTCTAACCAACTATTGCCTTCGGACGACAACGGGATGTACCTTTTCTTGCCCCCCCCTTCCTCTGGCAAAGTGCAATGTCCGACGTCGCCCGTCGAGTATCCCCAAGTATCCCGTAGCGTCAATCGTTATCATAAAGAGCTGGGGCTGGCCGTCTCATGTCTCTCCGACTCCGACAGAAAGACATCATAGTTTCCATCGCCGCTTGTGGCACAGACAAAGAATAAAACTGAAAGGCCCAAACTAAGCTCTATCCTTGCCACCCCCCCCAATCTCCAAGCAGCCTATAAAGTTTCAATCCTCCTTCCTATCTTATCTTTTATCTTCTTTTCCTATCCTCTACTTCTCTCCCCCGAACATGTTTGAGGCACCTCTTCCCATCACTCTTCCTCCCACGGCCGACTTCAAGCACGCAGATCCTCCTGTCCGCACTCACAACGCCACGCCTACCCAGATCCTCCAGAACCAGACCCCCGACAACAACACCAGCAGCACAAAGTCGGCTTCCACCAGCTCCCTGCCCGCCATGTCTAACCTTGCTCCCGAGCCCGAGTTCCAGCAGGCTTACAATGGTATGTCGAGACACTCGCCGGCACATGTCTCGAGTATCTGACTAACAACACCCAGAGCTGGTCAGCACTCTCGAAAACAGCTCTCTCTTCCAGAAGCACCCCGAGTACAGAACCGCCCTCGAGGTCGCCTCCGTCCCCGAGCGTGTCATCCAGTTCCGTGTCGTCTGGGAGGATGACAAGGGCCAGGTCCGCGTCAACCGCGGTTACCGTGTTCAGTTCAACTCGGCTCTCGGTCCTTACAAGGGTGGCCTGCGCTTCCACCCCACTGTCAACCTTTCCATGTAAGTCAATCTGTACAAGAGGCAGCCGTGAACCTGGACTAACAGTGCAACAGTCTCAAGTTCCTTGGCTTCGAGCAAGTCTTCAAGAATGCTCTCACCGGACGTGAGTAGATCCCCCAGTCAATTGTACAACCCGGATACTGACAAAGGCTTAGTGAACATGGGTGGTGGCAAGGGTGGTGCCGACTTCGACCCCAAGGGCAAGGCTGACGGCGAGATCCGCCGCTTCTGCCAGGCTTTCATGCGCGAACTTTCCAAGCACATTGGTGCCGACACCGACGTTCCCGCTGGCGATATTGGCGTGTCCGGCCGCGAGATCGGCTTCATGTTTGGCGCCTACCGCCAGGCCCGCAACAAGTGGGAGGGCGTGCTCACCGGCAAGGGCCTCGACTGGGGTGGCAGCCTGATCCGCCCCGAGGCCACCGGCTATGGTCTCGTCTACTACGTCGACTACATGCTGCAGCACGCCGGCCGCGGCAGCTTCGCCGGCAAGCGCGTCGCCATCTCGGGCTCCGGAAACGTTGCCCAGTACGCCGCGCTCAAGTGCATGGAGCTCGGCGCCATTGTCGTCTCGCTCTCCGACTCCAAGGGTACCCTCATCGCCGAGTCGGCTGAGGGTTTCACGGCCGCTCACGTCGACGAGATTGCTGCCCTCAAGGTCAAGCGCCAGGCTCTGACGGCCTTTACCACCACCGGCTTCAAGTACCTCGACGGCGCCCGCCCCTGGGTCCACGCCGGCAAGGTCGACGTTGCGCTGCCGTGCGCGACCCAGAACGAGGTCAGCAAGGACGAGGCCGAGGCGCTGGTGGCGGCCGGCGTCATCGCCGTCGCCGAGGGCTCCAACATGGGTTGCACCCAGGAAGCCATTGACGTCTTCGAGGCCGAGCGCGCCGCCAAGGGTGCCCAGGCCATCTGGTACGCCCCCGGCAAGGCCGCCAACTGCGGCGGTGTCGCCGTCTCTGGCCTCGAGATGGCCCAGAACAGCCAGCGCCTGAGCTGGACCACCGAGGAAGTGGACGAGAAGCTCAAGGCCATCATGAAGGCCGCCTTTGACAACGCCCTCAAGACGGCCGAAGAGTACGTCACCGCCAAGGAGGGTGAGCTGCCCAGCCTCGTTGCCGGCAGCAACATTGCCGGCTTCGTCAAGGTTGCCCAGGCCATGCACGACCAAGGCGACTGGTGGGTCCAGTAAATCTTTCCGAGTAAAAAAAATGGTGGAGGATGTTTTGCTTCCTTGGACGATATACATGTTTCCGGAGTTTGTGCGTTGGAACGGTGCTAAAGGCATTTACACGGCTATATTTTTCACGATTCCCACGACACCCCAGCATTTAAGATTGGAGCTTTGGACAGGGCGTCATTTTTCTCTTTTTATGCAATGTATATATATGGCACAATAAAAAAGAAATTGCCAAGGCTACATACTGAAGTCGGATGCGAGTGATTTACAGCTAAACTAACAAAGGTAGGACACACCTCAGTTTACTATAAAAGACTACAAACACACTATGACCTAGTATGACGAAAGGAAAGGAAATTACCTGGGGTTTAAAGTGCGGCTGAAACTGCAAGGCTGAACGCGAGCTGCTAGTATGCTGCCAAGTGCCGACAGCTGGATGAAGCTGAAGATTAGCGTCGACGAGATCAACACGGAGTCGAGTCAACCCCGGGCTTGGCGCGTTTATTAAATTTCATGTTTATTCCCAGCTGTTTTCAATTTCCAAAATAGCATCTTCATACCACATTATTACCACACGCCTACCATGCGACGTCTTACTTGTGTACTTGCCGCTGCCGTTGCCCTCGCCGGACCCGCAGCCGGAAGCGATGCAACGGCCGACTCGAGTCTCTTCCGCGGCTCATCGGCCGAGCCGCCTCCGGACGTGTTCCTCGTCGAGAGGGACCTCGCGCAGCACCAACTTGCCGGCATCTCGCTGCTGCCTGTTGTTGTTGCGCTCGCGAGACGGCAGCAGCAGCAGTGTCCGTATCCCGTCATGTGCTCGGCGCGGTCCTGCTGTCCTTCTGGTTACAAATGCGTTTGTTGTTTCCTTTTTATAACCCCCTAGTAAAAAAATAAAATAAAATCGCTGACCAGTTGTGGGAAATAATAGTGCAACGCCGCGGCGCCGCCGCTCTGCTGCCCCGCAACGTCCGCCTGCCGCCTCGACGTCGGCAATTGCTGCCCGGACACGGCCGTGACGTGCGGCGGCCGGTTCTGCGCCCAGCCGGGCGCGGTCTGCTGCGGCACGAGCGTCTGTCCGCCCGGCACGGCGTGCAACACCAGCGGCGGGACCGTGTCGTGCTGCCGCCCCGGCGAGCTACGCTGTCTGGGAACCTGTATGTCTGGGGTCGGGGATAGCTTTCCAGGGATTCTTTTTTTCTTTAGATGTGGCTAACAATGGGGAACAACAGGCTGCCCGGCCGGATCGCAGTGCGCGCCCCAGACGGGATACTGTCGTCGCCTGACGCTTTCCGAGAAGAGCACGACGACGAAAACCACGACGACAACGACGACGACGCGCCAGTCCACGACAACGTCGACCCGGACCACCACCACCGTCATCAGCTCCCGCACCACATCCACCTCCACGTCCACGGCGTGCGCCGCCAACAGGCGCGACCTCCTCGTCGAGCCCCGCCAGAACACCCGGCGGCCCAACTGCGCGTACGAGTGCCACAACGGGCAGACGCTGCCCGTCGTCGAGGTGCCCAACATTCCGGGCCAGACGGACCAGCTGTTCTTCAGCATGTGCTCTGGCATCCTCGGCACCAGCGCCGGCCGTCGCGCCGCCGGCGGCGACGGCAGCAACTTTGACGTGCTCACGTACCGCGGCGCCGACGGCAAGGCGCTGCGCCGCAGCCAGGCGCGCTGCAAGGGCTACTGCGCTGAGCAAAAGGCCGTCTTTGGCGACCCGGCGAGCTTGCAGTGCGACGAGTATCCTCCAGGTGAGCAAGCCCCCCCTCCCCGTTTGACGAACCTCCCCCCCCCCGAGTTAGCTAACCAGGAGGCGGGGGAAAACAGCAATGGCGGGAGAGGGCGGCAAGGGCGCGTTTCGAGTGTGCATTCCAAATGCGCAAAACTCGGGCGCGCAGGGAAGGCTCTTTCGCCGCTTCGTGACCGACTGCGCGCCGGAAAAGGGGAAACCGTTTGTTGTGCGCATGAAGGGCGGCTGCAACGTGCGCAACGGTAAGCGCGCGTCGCCGCCGCCGCCGCCGCTGCCGCAACTTGTCAGCCGCGCAGATGCAGCAGCAACAACAACAACGTACAATGCGTCGAGCAACGTGCTCTACTCGTGGGACAACTTGACGTACATGTATGTGCCGCTGCCGGCGCTGCAAAACGGCCACTACCGCATCGACGTGCGCTTCCGCGGATCCGTCCGCGGCGTGCAGGTGACGGACAGCGACGGCGAGGACTACTACGCCACCACAGGAGCGGCTGTCGAGGACGGACACGTGGTCGAGTTTGACGTGGCCGGTGTCGATGCACAGGACGGCGAGCAGGAGCCGGATCCGCTGCCGGCGGGGCTCTTCCTGGACGTGGACGAGGCCGTCGACGTGAGTTATGAGGCGCAGGCGACGCTCAATGGCACGAAGACGGGAGAGCAGTCCTTGGCGGTGAGGGCGGCCGCGTTGTCCGCTGTCAAGTTGGTGCTGGTGTTGGTTGTGGCTGTCGCGGTCGTCTAAGTGAGGGCATTGCCAAACCGGTCAGCTACGCGAATTGGGGGGCATGACTGAAGGACAAGTTTCATCTTTTTATGAATTAAATATTTGGTGAATTCATTCATATATAGTTCCTTTTTGAAAAACCCCAGCAAGATTGATGAATAAGTCTTTGTGAATGATCGGCGTACTTAGAGCTTACCCCACATAACCGACATCCCTCGGCTACAAGACGGTTGTATGTAAACGTCTTCTCCATGGCCATCTCATTTCAACCTCCTTCTTATAATTTCAATTTGAGGTGATCGCTATCCCAAGACCAAGCCGCCACTTAATTCCCATCCAAATAAACACATATACACAATGGTCGGCGCACCCCCCCTCACCGGCATCAAGGTGCTCGAGTTTGCCGGCCTCGCTCCCGGTTCGTCACTCTCAACCCAGAGCCACCGCCCTGCAACCTCACCAGCTAACCTTTGGCAGGTCCCTTTGCGGGCATGATGCTCGCCGACGCGGGCGCCACGGTGCTGCGCGTGAACCGCCACAACGACGCCCCGCAGGACATGCTCGCGCGGCACAAGGCGTCCATTGCCGTGGACCTCAAGTCGGCGGGCGGCATCGCGCTGCTCAAGACGCTCCTCGCGTCGGGCGGCGTCGACGTGCTCATCGACCCGTTCCGGCCGGGCGTGCTCGAGCGCCTCGGTCTCGGGCCGGAGCCGCTCCTGCAGCTCAACCCGCGGCTCGTGTACGCGCGCATCACGGGCTACCGGCGGGACGGGCGGTACGCGCACATGGCGGGCCACGACATCAACTACATTGGCGTGTCGGGCGCGCTGTCGCTGCTCGGCGCCGCCGGCCAGCGGCCGCAGCCGCCCGTCAACATCCTCGGCGACTTTGCCGGCGGCGGCGCCACGCTCTTCCAGGGCATCCTGCTCGCGCTGCTCGCCCGCGCGACCACCGGCCGCGGCCAGGTCGTCGAGGCCAACATGGTCGACGGCAGCTCGTACCTGGCCACGTTCCCGCGCATGGCGCGCGCCACGCCGCTCGCCGACAAGCCGCGCGGCCAAAACACCCTCGACGGCGGCTGCCCCTGGTACGGGTGCTACGAGACCGCCGATGCGCTGTGGGTCACGGTCGGCGCGCTCGAGCCGCAGTTCTTTGCGCAGCTCGTCGCCGGCCTCGGGCTGGCCGGCCGCGGGTGGGAGGACGAGCGCGGCGACGAGGAGCGCTGGCCGGAGCTGGCCGCGCTGTTTACCGACATCTTCAAGACCAAGACGCGTGCCGAGTGGGAGGCCGTGTTTGACGGCACGGATGCCTGCGTCGCGCCCGTGCTCGACTACGATGAGCTGCGGACGGATCCCGGCCGCGAGGGCGACCAGCGGCCCGCCGTGACACTGAGGGACACGCCGTGGTATGCTGTGCATGACGAGCCCGGCACGCTCGCCGACGCGGACCGCGGCCAGGGCAAGGGTGTGGAGGGGGCCGGGTACACGCCGACGCTGCTCGACGTCGGCGAGGGCGGCGACGAGGTCCTCGGCGCGTGGCTCGGATGGAAGCGCGGGACGCACTACGAGGATAAAGATGGGCGAGGCATCACGCTGGTAAATGACAAGGCCAAGATCTAGAGGGCGTTGCGCCATGTCTCGGCTCGTTTTCATGCATCATCATGTGACATGGCAAATACACCGCTGGAGGAACATGAAACGTGGCGGTCAAGCCAGTGCAGACATATTGTATTCTCATCCGTCAAAGCCAATCTGCCATGTACACAAGTCCTATATCTATCTATACAGGCCCACGCGGAATCAGACTAAATAGTAAAAAACAAGTCATTTCATATCTACTCTAAACCTCCGGGCCAACAAGTAAGTCATGGTATCGAAAAGGAAATTTAAAAATTACTTTCTTTTGTATCTCCTTCATCCACCGAAAGCGTTGCGCTTCCGTCTGGCGGACAAAGACGCGAGTCTGGCGCCCATTTCTTACTGTACCTGGCTGACAATCTCGCTGGCCCGCGACAGCGACTCCACCATTTGCTGGCACTCCTTTCGTCGGCGAATGGTGAAATCGCTTTCCTTGAGCAGCTCTTCCAACGCATCGGTGCGATACATGTTCTCTAGGAGCTCCTTTTGCATCTCATCCTTGGTGAATCTAGCCCGGTTAGTGAACGTGGCATGCGGCTTTGAGGAGTGATACTTACTGGACAAGGGTAAGCATGATGGCCTTGGGCACCATGTCAATCATTGTACGCTTGACAATGTTGTAGTATGAAGAGATGAGCAGTTCTATCAAAGTTAGAAAGTGCCCGGTGGAGTATTGTGGCATACGTACTGATGACCTCGACTTCAATGTTTTCACGCTCAGACAATGTGCCGGAGGCCTTGAGCGTCGGTGGTGGCGCCTCCATGGCAGCAGCCTTCTTCTTGTTCTTGGCGGCAAAGAAACTGCCAAAGAACCCACCGTTCTCAGCGTCGGGGATAGGAGGGCTGGTTGTGCGGGCGGGAGCGGCGGCCGCAGGTAGAGGCTTGCCGGTCTTCGGGTCCACCTGCACCGGCTTGGCCGGGTTATGACGTTCGTTGACAACAGCCATGGCCTGTGAAGTGTTAGTCTAATTTACCATGGGTACGCTCCTCGTGTTACCTACGCGGTGACCGTTCAAGAAGTCGGGGTGGCCGGTGTTGATGTAGCACGCTTCCATGTTGACGAGGTCGCGAACGAGCTTGTTGGTAGGCTCCATAGCCTTCTTAAAAAAGGCAATGACGACGCCGTGCATCTTTTCCTTGAGAGAAGGATAGCGGCGGTACAGGGTCTTGCCGAGCAGCTGAGAGAGAATGCGGACAAGCTCATCGTAGACAAGCGAGATGCACTTCAAGCTAGGGTCCTCCAGACGCTTGATTTGCTGCTTTACGATGAGCTCAAAGGCAGTAGTGCCAACAAACAAAGCGGGAGAAGAGCCAGACGAGTTGTAGAGAATGGTTCGGATATCAACGTCTTTGACAACGTCAAAGGGGTCAATAGCCTTGACACCGTTGGAGTAGAGCTCATGAAAGACGAAGCTGATACGGGCGCCACCTGACAACTCAGTGCTGGAGAGCTCATTATTGTTACCATCGAGGACGGTTCGCCACTCGTTGGTGAATTCAGTAATGATGTTGAGGATAATATTGGCACTGTTGCCCAGCATAGACGGGCCTAGGCTGTCGAGTTCGGCCGTATATTTTTGCAAGGAGCTGGCAATTCTGGCCTTGATGTCGGGCAGTGTCTGCTTGATGTGCATCATGAGGATCAGATTAAGCTTGCGGGCAAGGTAGGGAGTACCACAGTAGGAGCTCTTGTTGCGATAAGCCTTGTGATTGTCGAAGAAGTTCTTCTCAGCCTCGAGTGCGGCGTTGATGGCCTTCTTGTTGTCGATGTCGCGCTGTCCACGGTTGACGACGGGGACGTATCCGAGACGCAGAGGGATAACGCGGTTGGAGAGAATGTCAATGACATCGGTACCATCGTCCATGAGATCGACCTTTGTGAGGACACCAATGGTACGCTGGCCTTCGGGGTCGACTTCGCGGGCGAGCTTGAGACCATCCGAGTTGGCCAAGTCCATGTTGGCAGGGGTGACGGCGAGAACAATGGCATTGGACTTGCCAATGTACTTGAGCACCATTTCGCGAATCTGTCTCTCGATATCTCTAGGCTGGTCACCGACGGGGACCTTGGTGAGACCGGGTAAATCGACGAGGGTCAGGGTCAGAACATTGGGGGAGTAAATGCGGAGGTTGATGGGGACAGGAGAGATGCCACCATTCTTGCCGACCTTGGCCTCGGTTTCGTTGGCAATCTCCTCGCGAATCTTGGAAAAGTCATAGAACTTTTGGCCGGGGACGTGGAGGAACTCGCCCCATTCATCTGCATTAGCAGCCTTATCGTTGCCGCCCTCAAATTCACCGTCCTTGACGCCGTTAGTCTGGGCGGGTCGGTTGATGAGCTGGAGCACGAGTGGTCGACGGGTAACGATACCGGAACCACGGGGAAGGCTACAGGAGATTGTCAGCAACACAACAAGTTGACGGCGCGGTAGGCACCGAGGCAGACTTACAAGTCACGGCCGACAATGTTTTCCAGTACGGAGGACTTTCCGCTAGACTGACTACCGACAACAGCAATTTGAGGAAGATCGATGGGGTTGTTGACGCCGACCGTGGCAAATACATCTTGCAGCTTGTTGACGAGACTAAAAGGTCATCGTCATGTTAGCGAGCTGTCCACCAGGGGCCCAGGGAGGCATCGCAAGACGAGGACGCACGTAATGAGGGCGGGGTCGGAAATACCGCCCGGTGAAGAGAGATTGCCGCTCATGATGGGCGAGATTTCGGGGGGTGTGTATTAGCGGACCAGCTGTCGTCTGGAGGCGGGCTCGTAGGCGCGAGTATGAAGCTGGCGATGGGGGGACCCGGAGCGGTGTCGTTTGTTTGGAAGGGGGAGGTGGGCTGGGCTGCCGGCGGCTGGGATTAGGTCGGTAGACGTAGGCACGTTGCGGCGGTGCGTAGGAGACGAGAGTACGGATGCAGCGACGAGGTAGATTGGCGCTGGCGGAGAAGAGGTTGTGCAGAAGTCGAGCTGTCGACAAAGAAGAAGAGTGAGGGAGGGTTTGCGGCAAGAAATGGTGACGCTGCGCAACACGACAGCAACTTGTCCCGTCCCACCAAAAAGACCAAAAAGAGGACGGAGGCGAGCCTAACCACGTCTCAGCGGGTTGTGTGGCTGAGCTCTGCTGCCGAGGGCTAACATAGCACACCTAAAACTCCTCGCCCGGCGCATGTTATCACTGAGCGTTGGGAGCCGCTAAGCCACCGTGGCTGGACCAGGGCAACCATATTTAGCGCTGGCATCGGGCATGAAGTGGATGTAGCATATACATTGGCTACATCAAAATTGTGCGGCAAAGCTTCCCCAATCTGGTACCCAGTACCTAATGCTGCCAGATCACATTAATCAGTAACAAGGCACAAGACCAAACATCCAAGGGAGAGAATATCGAATTGATACGAGCTACCTTACACCCCGAGCTACCGTAGCATCCGCCACAGGCCCACGTCATCTGGTGATGCTAGTCACTCATCTGGTCCAGGCAACCAGTTTATTTCTTTCCTCCAGGCAGCAAGCCGAGAATTGAGGTGCAATGAGTGCCAAGCAGCTCTCGCACTTTCCAATGACGCAGCCTTCCGCACTCGACTGGTAGCTCTAGCCTCGCGTTGCGACCTGTATTGACAACTAAAGACTGACGAGTGACAACTGGTCTCAATATAAGCTCTTTCTTCTAAACCAACCATTCTAATAATCGAGGGGTGCAAGATTAATCTTGTTCCTAAGCCATGCATTGAATCAGCTCGTATTGCGAACTTTAGTACCAGCGCTATCTTCAACGTCTTGCCAAGCACACGCAAGATATCTTCTAGAAAACATATGTTATGACAATTAAAATCCAAGATGTATTGTTTACTTCACATGTGATATATGAACACAGCGGTGTTATTCTAGCTCTGACTTATAGCCCAATTCACTACTTATATGCGCTTCTCCGCCGGCAAGAATTTCTGGCTGCAACTAACTAGCCAGCTAACTGAATCTTACAAGTTGTCGTTTTTCTCTTAAATAAATTATTGCGGGCCCTTTCGGTAATTCTTTACTGAGTCTAGAGGATAAGGTTGCGGCTTAACGGCTGGCTCGTGGTGCCTTACTAGACGCATGTCCTTCTTGTAGGTGCAAATAAAGTATTTCATGGCAGTCTACGGTTGCTCTATGGTTGCTGGTTAGGCTTTTGGTCAGTTACTGGAGGGCTCGGCAATCAGATCGAGGGTTGTCTAGAGTTATATAGGTACCTTTGCAGCAGATCCTAGTCAAGTGAGTATTATCGGGATATTTTGGAGTTGTGTAAGATTCACAATGTTGGCTCTTGTCCGAGATGTACCGTGCAAAGCAGCCCAGGCAATACGCACGGTACGGAGGATGATTTTGTATATCAGAGTGCTTACATAACATATGTACAATAACATGGCATGCGGTGCACACCCATAACATACTTAGCATGACAGTCAAACTCACGCGCAGCTGAGGGCAACGCCCAGTGACCAGCCATACGCTTGTTGGAGATATAGCTGCTCAGGAATGAAGTATCAACGTACTGGGCCTACCTTGCAATGCGTACTGCCTTGGTAACGGTGTGAATCGACTGCCATCTGATGATGAATCACGCTATTCACTGTACTCACTGTATTCACTGTTGGAAAAAACAACAAGGACAAGAAGCGGCCGCCCTGGGCACGGACGTGAGCGCTGGCGAGTCACCTGAGGGATGCAGTGTCCACTGAAAACAAGCGTGTAGCGGCTCAAGACCACTGGAAGGTTACAGCAAGGGACGGTCTCTAAATATGCCTTGACAGTTTTTTTGGCATTTCTTTATAGCAGAGTGTACTGGAAGGATTTCAAAAGAAGGTAGGTAAGGTAGATGTGTCAAGAACCCATTTATCGTCAAAGGCCGTTCTTCAGTTCCTTCGTGGTGTAGCGAAGTCCATGCCCAACTAGGTTAGGCTGGACTGGTCGAGCGCTGTACCGCTGGCCAATAGGCCCCTATGATCCCTCAACAGCGCTGAAAGCTACCCAAAGCTGACAAGTGCAAGGCCTCCACTTGTCCAGTAATCAGTACTAGGTACTTCGATGTGCCTTGAATATAGCGAGAGTTTGGAGTACCTTGCATGGTCACTAAGCAGCCTAATAATAATAAGGCATCTTCTATCTCTGCTCTGGCCTCCAACATCGTATTACCCCAACGTCAGCCATCCTCCCTTCCCTCTCACGCATTCATCACCCTTGCCTGGGCCTCCGTATCACATCCGGCCTGCCAGCTCTCTCTCTCGTGCCACCTCGAGCCGCCCATCCCGCCAAAGACCTCGATTGCCTTGCTTGCACACCGCACACCATCAGTCACATCATACATGTGCCTATCCACTCGCTACCCGCACTTGGGGTACAATTAGGCCATCAACAACCGCGCCTGTCTCGACAACACACGCCACACGCCCGCCATCCGTGCAACTCTTTGCTTCCACCAAGACGTCCTCGAGCCATAGGCCCCCAGTCGGCCGGCTCCTGAAGAAATTCCGCCTCTTCACCCTGCGGCCACCCGCCGCGGCGAGGTCGATCTGGATCGACTCTCAACTTCCAGCAACCGCCCCGCTGACACTTCTGACGCTCCCACGACCACGACGACACCTGCACACCAGCAGCCACCCACTCCCGCTTCAACCACCTCGCCCGCCGCTCCTCCGACCCAGCCGTTCTCTGCCACGGTCGCTCCGTCCTCCCCCGCCCGACCTGGTCCTGGAGACGTCTCCGGTGCGAATATAGAATCTTCCTCGGACTTGTCCACTGCCTCGCCACCGCCGCCCCAACCCGCCCAGATCCTCGGACGGCGCCGACGCTCCTCCTCCCACTACCACCCTCAAGAAGCGCCTCCCGCCTCGGCTGCTGCAGCTTCGGGTGCGGACACCCAGGCAGAGCCAGAACCCAAACGAAGAAGACGCGCCCCGCTAGACATGGTTGGCACCGACGACAACGGCGCGCCCTCTAACGGAGTTGTGCCTCAACCTGGAGCTAATGGCACATCGCCGTCGTCGCCGTTACGCACGTCAAACGGCGGCACAGCCAATGGAGATGCCAAATCGTTAATAGCGACAAATGGCTCATCTGAAAAGGGAAAGCGAGCGGGAGCAGGTTCCAATCCGGATACCTACTTTGGGCACAACAGAGAAGAGGTTACCCGTATCCTCATCCAGGCCTTGACTGACATGGGCTACCAAGATGCTGCCCAAAATGTCAGCCATGAGAGTGGTTTCAACTTAGAGAGCCCGACTGTCGCTGCTTTTCGATCATCGGTGCTGCGCGGCGCCTGGGGCGAGACAGAAAAGTTGCTCAACGGCGCTACTACGACCGACGAGAAGGGTGAGGCAGGCAACGGTCTTGTTCTCGCAGCTGGGTCGAATCGGAGTACCATGCGGTTCTGGGTCCGTCAACAAAAGTATCTCGAGCTGTTGGAGTTGCGAGACACCACTCGCGCCCTCACGGCCCTGCGCAACGATTTGACGCCACTCTCTCAGGATACAGAAAAGCTACGCTTATTATCAAGTCTTCTTATGTGTCGCTCAACAGAGGACCTCATGTCCAAAGCAAATTGGGACGGCGCAAAAGGTCGCTCCCGTCATAGATTGTTATCAGAACTATCCAGTACGTATCCCTCTCTCTACAGCGTCTCTCCACCAAGGCTGCCGGCACTAACTCGTCATAGAATGTATATCACCTTCTGTCATGCTCCCCGAAAACCGCCTCGCCGTTCTATTAGACCATGTAAAGAGAGGCCAGATCGATACCTGCCTATATCACACGGCCGCTTCCTCGCCATCCTTGTACTCCGACCACTCATGCGATCGCCGCAACTTTCCTACCGAGATCGCTCTCGAACTGTCCGGTCTCAATGGTGAAATCTGGCAGCTCCAATTCTCACATGATGGCTCAAGACTAGCTGCCTGTGGCAGTGGCAAAACCGTCGCAATTTGGGAGACGACCAACTACCGGGTGGTTGGTCTTCTTGGGGACCACGGAGGCGGGGTCGGCAACCTTTCGTGGAGTCCCGATGACAAGATGATTGTCACCTGCTCACAAGACAATTATGCTCGTCTCTGGGACGTCGAAGTATGCACCACATCTCTATTCACCTAGAGTACCGCCGCTAACAAAATCCCAGAGCAAGACAATAATAAAGAAGCTACCGAGCTTCAACCACCCCGTCAGCGGGTGCCTATGGGCTGCCGACAACAAGTCTTTTGTGCTAGGTGGGCTTTCCTCCAATGGACTGTGTACTTTCTTTGTCGACGGCGACGAGATCCTGGAGTGGGATGCAGACCACCGTGTGCAGGACCTGGCCCTTTCGCCCGACGGGCGCTGGCTCGTGGCGCTCGACGATCAGCAGACGTACCATGTCTACGACGCCCGGACGCGTGCGCCGGTCTACAGCCACGAGCTCCGGACGCGACCTACATCGGTCAGCATCAGCGCCGACTCACGGCACATGCTTCTCAACAAGCGGGACGGCGAGGCGCAGCTCATTGACATCGAGACCAAGAGCCCCAAACAAAAGTTCCTCGGCCACACAGGCGGCGAGTTCCTCATTCGCAGCGCCCTCGGTGGCGCTAACGAAGCCTTTGTCGTCAGCGGTAGCGAGGATGGTAACATCCTCATCTGGCACAAGAGCACCGGCGCCGCCATCGAGCGGCTCCCCGGCCACAATCCCCGCTGCAACGCTGTCGCGTGGAATCCGACGGACCCCTGCATGCTGGCGTCTGGAGGCGACGACTGCTTCGTCAAGATGTAAGCTTCTTTTATATTTATCCCCCTCCCCCACGCTCGTATGCATACAACCACCAAACTTCACTATACTGACTTGAGATCTACAGTTGGAGTAACAAGACTCGCGCTGCCGAGCTACGTGATGCATATGCCCTTTCGGCGTGGGAAACCCCCAACCCCGACGAAGATCTGTAGTAGAAGGGTGATTGAGCCGGGGAACCATTCGATTAGCATTGCCACTTGCTTGACTGCATCATTGTCTGCCATGTTTATTTCCCTACTTCCTTCTCAGCGGGTGTCCTCTTGTCCTTTGGATCTTGTTTTTGTTCTCTAGTCAATCTTGTCATATGGGAGAAGGGGGGAAGGAATGGGCCGAGTGGGGACTGGGCGAGTTTGGGTTGTATTTTTTCAGTTAATCTTTTTGGGTTTCTCAAGTGATTTGGGGGTTGGTTTATTCCCGGGGCTTCTTGCCTGATGCCCGCCCTTGTGGGCGGCAAAGCGCATACGTTATTATATTCTCTTCTTCGTCTAGAAGGGAACGCGACAAATTCGAGGTTAAGTTGAATCACTTGCGTGCATCATCCTTTTCCCCTATGGTCCTCATTGGGTCCCATTGGCCTCTCACCTCACCTTATTTTCTTCTTTGGATAACTAGAAGATTAATTTACCACTTGTCGCAATCTGTCTTACTATTACGTCGTCTTGTCGCATCATCCTAGCGGAAAAAATTGTTTATGGAATAGCTACCCATCTACGATTTTGCCGTGCAAGTGATGTCTCCATCGTAGGTCAATTACCACACCTGGTCGTCAACAAGACACAAAAGGCCTTTTTCTTTTGCAACGTCACAGTCTCACGTGCAAACATTCAAAAGAGACGCTGTTACCTTACTGTTAGGTTAAAAAAAGACAAGGCGGGCTGTTTCGTCAGATCCCGGCTTCTCGTCGAGGTGCCCCCGGGGACCCTTCTCTTTTCGGCCTCGGTGTGCGCCGATGGCCTGCCGTTATTCTTCCGTTGTCAGTCCCGGAAGCACCCCCGGCCCATCGCTACCAAGAAAAAACACGGATAATAGCTAACAAAAAAAAACAGGGAGCGGCCAGGCACGAGACCAAACCAGACCCCTGAGGCAGAGCGGACGTCTTGCCCACGTTGGGCCAAGTTCGGGATGACTGGGGGCATGCGACACTTTGCCAGTTCCGACCAGGACTTCGCGGGCGACCCCTGTACAATAACCTCGACTAGAATTCTCCATGTAACTAGGTGAGGGGGGGGGGGACGGGATTCTCACGTTGATAGGTTACACAGGGCCCTGCGAAAGCTTTGTGCTCAGTCGGCAGGCAAGGGATGAGAACGTGGTCTGGGGTTTTTCAGACACTAGTTACGAATTGTCCCCACGATCCGAGGATACAGCCGGATCGAGCAAATCGTAAAACGGAAAAGGAGGGGAAGAAAAAGAAGGGACAGGTGAAGGTGAAAGGTGACACAGGAGTTGCGGTGTAACATGCTGCATAGAGACAGGTGGCCGAGACAACTCGGTCAAGGACGAATTACAATGCGAGAAAGAACAACAACCGAGCGCCCCCAGCAATTCGAATGTGGGCTTCGTGAACAATGTATGCCCTGTCCGCTTCAAACCCGGCGCCGGTGTCACTTGGGCTTTGGAAGTTGCACATTGTTTTGGCCGTCTTCTGCATCTGTGTAAGACTCTGACCGAACGACGGAGCAAGTTGGGCAAGCAAACAATGCAAGAGTCTCGTGCACGGGGATCGATACGCTGCTGTAAGCCGTGTGATGGCGTTGAGCAATGCGTCGCCTCTGACATCACCGCGAGCTCCGGGGCTGCCCGCGTTTGTCGGGGTCCGCGATCTGGATCTGTAGATTCCGTCTGTTTTTGCGCGACACCGGCATGTCCCAAGCGGCTGAGCAACCTTGGCCGCCCCTGACTGACCAGTGGGCGAAACTTTACACGGCATTGACTGTTTTGACAGACATGTGACGGCTCTTGTACCACAAGATCTCCTCAGCCACAAAAATTAAATGAAAAAAATTCAGTAAGAACTTTCAAAGGAGTTGCAGCATAAACACATCGTCGCAGCCTAACCTAGCTAGGATCAGTAGACTGGCGGAAGCTAGCGATCCAAAATCACTATAAGGATCTAAACAATCATATTAACTTATCGATTAGGATGGGTCTTTGGCTGAAATCAATAAGTCGTTCCAAGGTAGTTACCCAAAGAGACTGTGCTTTTGTCTAGCATCTCATCAAGCTTGTAGTTACACAACAGTTGTGCCCTGCAAGCTGCCAGTGTGCGTTGCGTACAAATTACGGAGGGGAGCGGCGGTCTAACAAAAACAAACAGGAGCCATTGTGAGGAGGCGGAGCCGGATTCAGCCATCGTCCCACGAATCTCATGCATTGTGACAGGAGCAGACCAGGGGTCCTGTTTACTGGCCGGCCGGTTTCCCCTCCCCTGACATAGCTGGAGGTTGCAGGCGCTCGCTAGCCTGGCTTCTAGAACATGAAATGCCGGCAGCGGCTCATTCGATAGCGCAAATGTCAGCGAGAGACAAGTCTTATCCGGGTAGTGACAGAAAAAACTCAATAATGAGCTCTGGAGCGGCAACGTTGGAAGAAGTATACATGCTGCTGCGTCTGTCACGGATGCATGGCGCGCGTAGTGACAACGCGGTCTTCTGGCCGTGGTCGTCTGGTTTGAGGACGGAGATGCTGTATCAGGTCACGAGAAGGGGTCAATAACTAGCGGTAGCGAATGGTTGGTGTCGATACATAGTTGGGTTATTGACAAGCTCTCCAACTTTGTAACCCCTGACGGACCGACAGTTGGGCTGGACAAGACAGGCTCTTGTGTGTTGTGGTGTAACTGTGTGCTTGAAGGGGGTGGGCGGCTGTAGTTAGTGGACGCCACTTACAGCAAGTGTCGTGCTGGGCCATGTTTTCTTTTTCTCGTCTTCTCGTGGAGTGCTTACTTTTTAATGGTCTTGCAGAGAGATAGTAGTTGGGTGGCACAGAATATGGCGTGTTCAACATGAAATTGCCTCGTCGGTAGTTCCGCCGAATGTTGGAGGAAAATACTCAAATCTTCCCAAAAGTGTTTATACATGCAGTGGCTATTTCATTGTTGGTTGGCAAGGCAAGGCAAGTAAGCGTCCTCCATGGGTAAGGCGACAATGGTATACTGCTGGTTCGGGACCCAATTACCAATAGTTACAAATGCCTGTCGAAACGAGGCATCGTCATGAGAAGGATGGCCCGGGAGGGCGTAGTTGGGACAGGGGGTCTGCTCGGGGACACATAGGCTTGCGGACAAGATGAAGAAGGGTCGTGCCGTGGCTGTCGAAAGGGCGCATCAGGCCTCGGAGCGTGACATGTTTGGATGGGAGACCATAAGGATAATAGAGTTGGATCATCAGCTGGCGTCGTTGTGGCGTTTGATATTCGGCAGCCGTTTGTCAAGTTATCAACGCGGGCCTGGTTTCTCCGACCTTGTATGACGGAGGTTGTTTGGTGGCGGCACTTTTGGAGTTGTTACCCCGCCGGGCCATATCGACAAGGAGATGGTATTGGTATGGGTTCAACCTGCGCAGATGATAGGCCAGAGAGGCGAGAGGGATGAGTTGGCGTGAACAGAGGGCTGCGGATTGCCAGCAGGCCTGAGATTGCACATAATAATAATAAACGTGCATAGAGAAGGGGCTCGGAAGGTTGTATTCGGGCTCGGCTATCCGTCCGAAGAGAGAGAAGAGAGGGGGCTTCTGCAGGTGAGTTGTAACTTGGCTGTGAGCTGTACATATTCTGGGTTCCTGGAGGCCGGCGACGCCCCTGGCGGTGGTGCCTGACTCTCCACTGTCGTTGGATGGTCTGGGTTAGAACTTGGAGGGCACGGGCTAACTAGTTAGGCCATTTCAACCATCCAACGATCGTCGGTCGAGGCGGACCTGAGGTCAATGCGAGGGCTGAAACGGTGCTGCTGGGGCGAGGCCAACACGCAGGACGAGTTTGGTGTGGGAGGGGACGGCGGAGCAGGCGGCTCAAGAGATGCTATTGGTTACGATGGCGAAACACTGGAGAAATACTGAAGTGGATGAGAGAACATGGGGCAGTGTCTCTGTAACTTGCTATTAATTACTGGTACATAGAAGCAATAGCCGGGAATATGAGAAGAAAGCGGGCTGGGGAAGTTGGAGCCTAGAAGGTGGTTTGGTGGGCACTGGCACTGGCTGGGAGCCTGGGATAAAATAAGAACCAGGCATCCATGTCTCGGGCCCGAGAACGAGGTCATCAGTCAAAGTCAATAGTTATGATTCCATGACTCCATGATTCCATGATGAGGCAGTTTGGCAAGGCCTGCCATCGAGTGTCTGTGAGGTCGCTGAGGAATCAATGATGCGTAGGTGCAAGGGCAATAGTTCATTGGCACCTACCTATTATGTATGTACCTTAGTAGGTACCTCGACGGCTACAGCCGTTTGTGCTGGTGCCTCAAGTGCCTCAAGTACCCAGGTACAGCTTCAAGGCTGTTGGCGGTGATGGGACTGATATGCCGCTTAGGCCACTGCCGCCACAGTTTTGTAGATCGGTCCGGCCTACGCATTATTACCGAGTATGTACGTACTTACATGGTGACGGATGGACAGCTACGTGCCGAATATGTATGTACGAATTACGGAGGAGATTGATAGGGGATTTAAAAGGTGGGCGCAGCAGAATTGCTAATTTCAAGACAATACGGAGTATTGACTCTGGCATAAATACTTATTAACAGGTTATATCTGATTATATTATTAATAACTGCCTACCTATACTTTACCCATGCAACCGTTATATCATATCCTCACAGCATGCCTACCTTTAGCCTCACGGGGGCGCAGGATATTCGACGTTGGTCTTTATTCATTACACAAGTTACTCTGTTAGTACCTACCTTAGCATGTACCTACAGGTAGCTGGTTATGGCACTGTAACGGTCGAGCTTCGAGGGACATTCCATCGGTACGGCCCATCTGCACCCACAAGCGGCTCCACGTCCCGTTAACGTACACCCACACCTTCTCTTCTGAGTTGCTAATGGCGCGAGTTGGGCCTCGTTTGGCTTCTTGTATGACCTGTAATCTAATTGTAGGTACGTATATACCTACACTAAGTAGATACCTAGGAGGTACCGTACTTTCAATCTGACTGGGCACTGTGCGAGTTGGGGACCAGTCAGGGAGCACGCGCATCTCTGGGCACGTTACCAAACTCCAGCTGGCCAAAATGATCAAGGGAACGTGCGATATAGTAATCTCAACTTCGCTTCGGCTCGCTTCATCATCCTCATTATTATCATTGTTCACCATATGACCATTCCTGCACCCCACGCGCGGCGCGAGATGAGCTGTCCGGGCGCGCCCAAGCACCCAAGTCCTGGACGGCTCCAGCGAGATGCGCACCTATATCAGCCTTGAAATCCACTGATACATTAGTACCTTAGTACGCCAGGTTGTACCTAAGGTAAGGTACCTCAGTACTTCTAAGTGCTAAAAACTTGGGTGCTGGGACACCTGGCTCGGCGATGTTACGGGCCCGTGTTTGTGTCTTGCGAGGTACTGAATACCTGAGACGATCATGAAATATGGGTAGAGAGCGAGGTAAAACGGTACCTTTTTAGTCTCTACCCACCAGTTCCAGTACCGGCGTCCTTCCACCACCCCTAGGAACGTTTATTAGGTTAGCACGTATCAAGGTACAAGGTACCCAGGTACCTTACGACTGCATCTCCCCAATTGCCCTCTTTCGTCCAATTCCATCTCAAGCAACCACTTCTTAGTTGCATCCCTTTCCTGGGCTTTTTATTCTGCTGCACACACCACCCCCATCGCATTCTTTTATTGAGTTGCAATAGCTCCCGCAGTCCTCAATCTATCTTGCGCATCTTCGACTGGACCTCGACTGCTTCTACCGAACCCTTGTCTAGACCGCTTACGTCCAATTCCGTTGCTGTTGCCGCAACTTGCTTCGACACCTCTGCAAACGACGCACACAACCAGTTCCCGATTGCCAGCCTCCGCCGATTGTCCGGACGAATAACAAGGAGCGTCTGTCACTCCACTCGATACCAGCTCTGTAAATCCAGCTGTGGACTGCGCCTCTCTCGACTCCCCGCTTCCTCCAGCATGATCTCTTAGCACTCGCTCCCCACGCCGCGCCAACGACTTCCCTGTGGTCTGGCCCGGCCCTGCGCCAGACAACACCATGGACACCCTTCGCGGCTTCCTGCTTGTACCGCCGGATCGCAGCCAGATTCTCGGGAGAGCAAGCTGGAAAGTGCGTCCTCCCTTCCTTCCGCTTCCCGTCCATTGCATATTGACATCTCCCACCTCTTGATAGGCACGATACGTCCTCGTCGGTCGAAAAACACCATCCCACCGCGATAATGGTAACAGCTGTAACATTGGCAATGCTACGCTTCCCAAAACTTTGCCCAGGCCCGTCAGTGACGAATACTTTGTCTGCGTATATAAAAACAAGGTATGTCGTCTCGCCTTGACCCCTCGCTCCGCCCTTTGCTTAACCCTTCTGGTAGGACGACACCGAGCCTATTCAACAATGGAGCGTATCCTTGATAACGGATTGCCAAGTTCAAAATGTATCTCACCGAAAGCAAACTGTGGCTCAGCCGACCCTCGTCATAACTCTGTCCGACAAGGAGCGTAAACGTCGCTCTAGCCGAGCCGCAGGCCTCATGACCTCCGGCAAAGACGCGAGTGTAACCACCCTTTGGTTCCGCGCCGCTCCCGAAGATAAACAAATCAGTCTGGACGATTGGGCTCGCTTCATTTTATCCAAGAAGTCTATGTCTAATTCAGAGAGCCCTGTTTCGCCCGTCTTCAACAGCCCTTTCATCACACGCAGCCGTGAGGTGCCAGAGCACTTTCCAAGACCTGGTAGCAGTGGCACCCGTTTGCAGCACAAGAGCTCTACCGCAACATACTCTACGGGTCCCAGAGAACGGCCTGTGACATTCAGTTCTCAGTCGCCGAGTTTACGTTCCAAACGCAGCGATCTCTCTTCCCCATCTACCACCAACAACAATTATCCCATCCCTGGTCAATTATATACGACTGTGCTGCCGACCGACATTGGCCCTTCCGCCGAGTTGAATGGCGATTCCAGAGACGGATGGACCTCCAGCTCTGTCTACGGTCGCTCTACCGTCAACTCACCGGCACACATGCGCGACAGCATGAGCAGCCATGGCTTCTATGGTGAGATACCCGAGGTGAATGCGCCTCCGGCCCCAGGCGAGACCATTCTTGATCGAGCTTTCAAACTGGGTCATGTCCCATTTGCAATCCCCGACGTGCCCGGGCAGGAGAAACTGAGCTCCATTGCCAGATTCGATCTATTAATGCGGGACGCGGAGCAACGACGGTTACAGAAGGAGACTGCCGGCAAGAGAACCCGCCAAACTCTTGAGAGCAGATTTGAGGATGAGGACTCCTCGGAGGAGACACAGTCCGATCGCTCTCATGGAGCGGATACTGGAGACGACGCACAAGGACGGCAAGGCAAAGCGAATCTAATTTCACCATCAGCCCAAAGGGCCCTGGATTTCATTGCTGACCGAAACGGCCGACGCCAGGGCCAACCTAGGCACAGACCTTCAGCTTCTCGTAACCACCTCAGCTTCCATGCCGATGCGGCCCCAGCTGCCATTGTCACTGCTCCGCCAGTGCGTCCTCACACCGCTCATGCCAAGAGTCGACCCGGCGCACAACGTACGCAAAGCACACCTCACCTCATTCCTTCAGCCGTCACCCATGATATTCCCAATGTGCCCACCAGGATCCAAGAGGAGTCCCGCAAGCCAGCCGCTGATAAGCGTATCTCTGGCTCGAGCTCAAAGAGGCTCAGTCTCAATGACATAACCAAGCGATTCTCGAGCACGAGCAGCTTGTTGCTCGTGCAGACCAACGCCAGCGGCGCCAGTAGCCGGCGAAGCAGTGAAGTCGATGCCAGTTCCTCTACCCCGCGAACCAACCTCTCCATTCGCGGGACCAGCCAGGTTGCCAGAAACAGAGAAGATCAGAAATGCGGCTGGCGAGGTAGCGTAAACGTTGTCTCGCCCGAGGGTGGTTTTCTGTAAACCACCCAAACCATTGACCTTGATCCCGGACATCTTGCGCCAAACGCATGACCACTCGTTTTTTGTCTAAACCCTTGCTTGGATACGAAACTTGTACCAACAGCAAAAATGATACCATTCCCCCCCAACTGAAGTGTTGCTCCTGGCCGGCAAATTGCGTTGTGCGTGATTACTCGTCCCTTTTTTTGTTTTTGTTCTCTTCTTCGGTCACGACACTCATGACGCCAAGAACATCTTGCTTGTTTTCCTCCCTCCTTCTTTTTTCATGAAAAATTATGTTGCGTTGTTGCGGTTTCCAGTTTCTTCACGTCCATGGACCTTTGCGCTATGGCTCAATCGGATATTTTCATTTAAGGTGATGATTTTATTTTATTTTCGCATCTTCACCCTGGCATCCCTGATGGCTTTTATTTTCTTCTGTACATACTATGTTACTGTTTAAACCATATACCTGGGATAGGACACCAATGTATCGTACATAATTGGCATACTCAAGAATATCACTTCATCTTCCTCTCTGTTTCACCGGTAGTCTTATCTTTTGATGGCAGGTAAACACCTCGTTATTTGCTTAGTGTCGGCGCCACTTGACAAGTCCTAGTTCTTTGTTTGGTTTATCTTTACAAATCTCTCGCTCAACTTTGGAGTTTTTTTATTTCGTATGTGTATGCAGCTACCGGTGGTGGCAAAGCCCCTCCGCTTCAATCGTGAACGCTCGCCGCATTTTCATCATCCCCTTTACATTAATATCGCTTCACATGAAATGACCCTTGGTAGTTTTCCCCTCCTTCACCCAAAAATGCTTTTCATTTTCCTAGAAGTTTTTCTTTGCCTTTGTTTTTCCCGCTTTTCCATGTGCTTGACTGGTTCATGTCCCCGCTTCAAGCAAGGTACTGCGCAATCGCCTGCTGCTGCTCTGGGGGCAGACGCTCCGAAATGAAACCCTGGAGGGCACCATTGTGGCGCTGGTTCGCACTCACCATGTAGCCCTTGACCCATTGAGGCACGTCCTGAATCTCCGGGAAGTCATCTCGCGCCAGAGCCTTGCAAGTGTTGAGTGGCGTGTACGAGGTGCCGAAGCCAATGTCGTCGACGGATGGCTCGGCGAGAAGATCGTCACCGCCGCCCGCTGCGACAGTGGGGGGGTTGGCCAGCAGGGACAGTAAAATACGGCAGGTGTTGGCCCATCCCTTCAGAAACTTTTGCGCAAAGACAGTCGAGTTGCAGAGTGTCTTAGTTAGCGAAATGACGGCTAATTTGCGATCAATTGGTCGAGCGAGCTTTTCCGTCTCAGCAAGCACAAATGGCGGGTAGACCTGCGCAAATGCTTTTTCGTCCAGCTTATTAGAGTGCTTGATGAAAAAGTCGGTACCGTAACCAGCCTCGAGACGGGAGCTGACAAGGTGGAAGAAGCGGACGAAGCGAAGCTTCAGAGCCTGACCTGGGTTACCTTGCAATTTGGTGTAGATAAGTTGCAGAACAGTGCCAAAGTAGGGATCGAGAACAGCCCTGTGACTCAATGTTAGTATGATCGCCTCATTGCGGCACCTTGAACTCTACTTACGGCTCAAACGCCTTGACAGAGGCATCCATGATATCAAAAGCATTTAGCTCGAACTTCTTGCTACTAAGGAGATTTTGAAAGATGCCTAAAAGTGGCTCTAGCTGCTTATTTGCCGCAATATCGGCAGAGGCTTTGGGGATGACGGCAGACAGCAGTCTTGTGCAGGCGGGAATGTTGCCTCTTGTCTCCCAAAGAGGTGCTCCAAGCAGTGGCTGCAAGAGACCTTTGTAGTTGTCTGAAATGGTCCCAGACGGGCTTGATTCAAGAAGCTGGGCGAGAATCTGAAAAATGTAGGGCATGAACTCTGTCACGTCTTCAGCAAGAATCTCATGAAAGGGGCCCCAAAGCTTGGCATTGAGAGCTGGTGCATTGCTAGCAGCGCAGTATCGAACCAGAGCACCCATGGCCTCGAAGTGGTAGTAGTAGAAGCGAGGGTTACTAGGATTCTGCTTCATGATGTTTGTAATGGCAACGAGGTGAGTCAGTGCGTTGTCGAGAATTGGGGCTGCACCATCTTTGATGACGATGAGAATACGCATAACGCAGCGCATCAAGAATTCGTTTTCCTGGAGCTTCGCTGGGCTGGGATCCTTCTCGATGAGTTTGAAGAGGTGATCCAGTAAATCCTTAGAAAGGGGCTCAATATCTTCGCGGTTGAATGTGTGGTTGCCGTTGTCGTCAGTCAAGAAAAGCACGCGCTCGACAGCAATGGCAGCATACGTGTATACGACGTAGTTAGAAGAGTTGAGATTCCGTACAAGAGGGCCAATGGCTTGCTTCCATTGCTCTTTGTTGAGCTGGCTGCGGAATGTGTAGAGAAACTTGATAGCATCGACCTTAGGAATTGGCTCTGAGTCGTCAGAGGCGACAAGATCCGAGGCAATATGTTGCTCAAAAAACTGTACAATGTTGACCAACGGATTCACTGTCTTGACGCCTTGTGCAGCGGTCACGGCTCCCTTTGCGGCAATAGACAGAAACAGGTAGATGGCAGTATCTTTAGCCTTCCAGTCCGTCTTTCCGAGATTCAGATAGTGGTTGATGTACTTGGAGACTGCCGTGGTGACGAGACTCTCAAATTTCTCTTGCAGCTGGCGGAGAAAGTCGGTGGCGGAGCGCCTACGTGAATCGTTGTCGGAACCTTCCAAGTCGCGACGAATATACTCGATCGGTTCGTCTTCAAACAGCTCGACGTCGGATTCGCGTAGGGTTACGTTGGGCAAAATGACCTTTTCGACGATTTGTGTAATGACCTCCTCGCTGTTGAACAAGCCAGAGTATTGCGCAGTAGCAGTGACAGCCGTGAGGAAATGCAGAGCTTTACTGACAATGACGTCGTATTTTGTCTCGGTTCCGGTAGCCGAAAGCAGGTTCCAGGCGCTGGTGATGAATGGCTGGCAGTATTGAGAGAATGCGTCGTCATATTTGAACGTGTATAGCACAAGTATCTCGCAGATGTTGGCCTTGACGCTGTCGGCAATGCTGACTTCGGATTCGTCGTCGGTGTCGAGCAGCGGGTTGGTGTATGTGAGATACTTGTGAAGAAGTTCGGCTATGCTGGAAAGATTGTCTTCGATAATGGGAGGTAGATCGTGGCTCGAAAGGTCGTACATGATTTTGATCTGGAGATCGAGTGTCTCGAACCAGCCGCGAAGAGCCTGCTTGTCGTTGGCATGTTCTTGGATCTTGCTGTCCGTGGTCTGCGCATGTTCTCGTTAGCGAATTTAAAACGTCCAATCTAAACATGTAGAATACGCACAACAAGGAGCTGGAAGAGTGGCTGGCCAAAGGTTCCTAGGACATGGTTGATTTCAATGTACAGCTCATCGGTCTTTGATAGCGGACGCCATCTGTTAAAAATGGAGTGTGCTACTTCAAGAACGCCAACATTGATCTTAGGGTCGGTAGCAGAGAATCGGCTGACGAGATCCTGTGGAGGAAGTGTTAGCTGGCTGTATGTGTGGAGGAGCAAGAGGGCATAGCCACCTGTGTGAGGGTATCCCACCGCCTCCAAAAGTCGGAGTCGGCGATGACACTAACTGCTTCGCCAAGCTGTGCTTGCACATTGGGAGGGCATGCTATCATAAGGCCGACAAGGCGCTCTTTGATAGTTTGGACCTCGGATTGCGAGATTTTGTAGTTTCCTTCCTCGTCCTAGGTAGGGAATGTAAGCTGGGCGCGTCGTGTCGGGGTTGGCTGCGGGGGGGGCGGAAGCTGGCGCGTAGGACAGCGGACGTACGACATAGTTTGTGCGGATGAAATTTTTGAAGGCTAGGGCAGCGGCGAGTCTCGTGTTGACGGGGGCAGAATCGTTGCTGACTATGGTGAGAAGGGCGAGCGAGTATTGGGGCTTTGAAGCTTCTTGCTTCAAGGCCAATTCGGCTGGCGGTGTTTGTTTGTTAGCTGGGATAGCAGAGGCGGGGCAGACGGTGGGAGCTGGAGGGCGAGTTAGGCACCTTTTCTGTGTTGGTAAGGATCGAGGGTAGCATTAAGCAGCTGGGCGATCTGATCCATGTCGGCCGCCATTTTGGAAGATTTTCGGCGGGCTGCAACCAGAGCGTGGGTGAATATGCTGGAGGAAGAAGCTGAGATGGATATTGTTGTGGACTTTTTTGGTTGCGGGACAACAGGCCGCGCGAGTGGAGAGAGGTCTGGGTGAGCTGGAGGCCGGAGCTGAGCCAGGGTCGTTCCTTGGGGAGCCTTGTGCGACGATATTGTGATGGCGTGAGAATGTTTCAGAAATACCAACGAAATAACAAAAAATATAAGGTGCATGTACGGAATTCTACCCATAAATTTTGCTGCTTTTTTTCTTTCCCAATTAAACAGAAGCTTGCCCGGGTTGGGTCAATTCAGAGATACCCCGCCCTCTAATGCCCGCGACATTAGGCGTCAAGGCGAAAACAGATATAGACCGGTTTCTTTGGGGGATTTGAAGGATACCCGGATATCTCTAGGTTGATACAACTATTCCTCCATGTTCATTTACGTTCAAATCAGTAGAAGATAACTAGTACGTGTCAGTAGGTCAAGCGACCAGGTACGCAAATGCAGCCAGCTGCGGGACAAGACCAGGATACTCGAGGCTGCGGCTACCGGATGTAATTCGAAGCAAATAGCATTTCATTATCCACAATTGAATCATGAAGTGCCTAGCTTGTACGAATTGATAAATAGGTACCGATCTGTACCTAGCAGGTTGCCGCACAAGGCATGCATATACTCAGTACGGAATAATACCCTTGTTATGGATAAACGGGACTCGCCAAAGTTGTGGTTTCTCAGCAGTGTCTCGGCAATTGTCGAGAGTTTCGATGGTGCAATAAATGCGAGACGAGACAGGGCACGGCAAATGCATGACTGTCTGGAGGCTTCATACAATCGCTGACCTTAATTAGGTATTATTATTAGTTACTGTACTTCGAGGCTAAAAGTTTTTTCGGGTCTCACTCAGTCTCACTCCAGGCTAGCATCGTACCGGTACGCGATTATCTCGTAACTTGCTCAGTGGTAATTTCAGTATATATGGTATTACTCTGTATCTTTTAAGCAGTAGGCAGACAGACAACAGGATCCTTCGCTTGGCCGCTCGGCGATCGCCTTGCGCCGAGCGCTGCAGGCGCTGTACCTCGTCTCTTGTACTAATGTATCTGTAACAAGAAGCCGACGGACCTAGGCACCAACCTGCAAGCCACTGCGATGCATGTCTATCACGTTTTACATGAAAAAAATGATTCATTGTAGATGATAAACGGTCTAGCCACCACTAGCTTTTTTTTTTCCTTCTTCTAGTACGACCAGGTGTCAGACCCTTGCCATCGTCCATCAGCCGCCGTTAAGCTGCCCTGGCTTCCCGTAGCCCCTGCGGCAGCCACCAGAATTAGGGAGAGCCGCCGTCACCCGCCACAGCGCCACAGAACTTCGCCGCTTTAAGCTTTCGTCCCAGATAAGAAGCGACTTCGTTTTTCTCAGCAAGCTCACAAAGCTCACTCCTGCCGCTGCTCATCGCCGCCTTAGTCAGACAAGCATCTCGTTCGTCACCTGTTCCCATCACCACGCCACATCCGCCTCGTCTTTCTGCCGTTTTCGTTTTGCTCAGCCGTTTTCCTTCTTCAATTTTTTTCTTCACATCGCGAAACAGCCGCCGTGCCTCTCCTCTCCTCCCCTCTCTTTCCTACATCACCCCGCCCCCGCCGATGATCCTCCAATAGCTCTTCAGCATTGCAGCTAGTCTGATAGTGGCAGCTCCCTCTCACTTCTTTCCTCCTTCCACTCGCCATCAATTCCGCTCTTTGACGCCGTATTGTTCGTCGGTCTTCTTTACTCCTACCGACCCAGAATCCCCATCGCTGCGTCTTTGTCTCTCACCTCTATGCCGCCACTCTCCCAATCTCGAATCTTCGTCGGCCTTTGAATCATCAAGGCCGCCAACTGGTACGAATTCCTACTGTCGCATAGCAACCCACCTGCACCGGTACCCAATGCTCCTTGCGCAGACTCTAGCCTGTGCCTGCTCATGCATCTATTGCTGTCCACGATGAGGGGAGCTACCTGAAGCTTGCTATTCTGTCTGCTCCCTTCGTCGTGTGCACCCATGTGTCGGCATTTGGTAGCTGCTGTGTAACCACTTCTTTGTCGTCCGGCGAGGCTTGCTCATCAGCTAACATCCGCCTCCGTTTTAGTCTCGCTCTCCGACAGGTTGCGCCCAAGACGACGAGCACATGTCTCGACAGCCCGACAATGATGTACCGTCATCAGACTCGGCCCGCCCCAGCGGCCTCAGCAACGTACTCCGAGGCCTCACCAGCTCCAGGAGCACTCGCTCGCCACCTCACATCGCATCGTCTGCTGCAGCTCAGCCAAAAACCGAATTTGTCAATGCCACGCCCATCCACTCTCGCGGTCTCGCCACAAACCACATGGATGCTCTTGAGCTTCTAAGATCCGGCATTCCCGCCGAGCGCATCTCCGCCGCAGACACTCTGCGATACGCAATATCCGAATACCCGTTGAATCCCGTCCTCGACATATGGTATGCCGCCAAGGACTTGATCGACGAACAGAAGCCCTCGGCCGTCCGAGTCGCCGGTTGGGGGCTTCTGACCGAGTGCGTCAAGCATACATCCTCGACAGACCTTGAAAGGCAGGAATATTTCCAGACAGTAGCCGCCCGCGCTCACCCCGACGATTTTCACATGCAGCTCGCCGCCCTCGTTGACCTGACTAATGGCGGCCGCAAATTGGCTGGGTTTGACTATGAAACAATTCCTTTACTGATAGAGTGGCTCGATCGAGCTTACAATGCCGCCAGGCAGGCCCGCAAAAATGCTGCCAGAGGCTCCAAATCATCTAAACGGGCAGCTGCATCGGGCGAGGACCAAAATTTGGCGCAGCTCTTCTCGTTCATCCACGATGTCATGAAATTCGGCTACAATACAGCCAGCGAGGCCACCGTGTCCAAGCTCATCGATATGGTGCTCAATATTTGTATGAGCACTAGCGTCGAAGAAGACCTCAAATCCTGTATTTCTATCATCGATGTCATCGTTACTTTTGGCTCTATTCCCAACGACAGACTCAAAGAGTGCGTCCAGGTCCTAGGCTCCATCTTCTGCCTTGTCCCTGGTCTTCATAAGGGCTCTTGGCATACACTAGCCAACCTCTTCAAATCTCACAATGGTCAGGCCACCGTTCGTATTTTGCTTGATATCCTTCGAAACCTATCTCCGGATTCTTCCAGCGACAAAGACACCAGCAGGGAGATTCGTGGTGCACTTGCGGTACTTCAAAAGCTTCTGGCTAAGAGCACAGAGAAAGGCTACCCAAGTGTCCCATACGCTCTGCTGGTTGACGGCCTCGCAACTGCTCTCAAGGCATCAACTTCTATAAGAGTATATGGCGCAATCATACAGCTCCTCAATACTTTATTCGATGACGGCGCTGGTCAAATGCATAAGCTGATTCTTGACGAGGATTGGTCCGTTGCCCTGCGCGTGTGCGCCGAGTGTTACAAACGTGTCATCGCAGTTGTTGATAAGACTCCCAATGAAGAAGCTGCGCAAGAATTCCTCGTGACCGAGCTAGCAACCCTGATTACACGTCTCGACCTTTTGATGAACCAGAAGACAATCAACTATATCCCTCGCCAGACAATTGTCAACTTCTTTACACAAGCCCCGGAGATGCTCTCTGATGCGACCGCCATTACCGTCCTCAATTACTTTCAGGAATTCAGATGCTGCTCGCCCTCCGACTTGGACTGGGAGGAGAACATATCTCTAGTCCTGGGGGCCTTTTTTCTCAATCGCAAGCGGCCCTCCAAGACCCGACTTATCGCGCTGAACACAATTATGGATGCTTATGACGTCGTGGAATTGGTCGGCGATGGAGCCGAGCAGAATTTCATACCCCGCCTGACGAAGCGTATCATTCATGATGTTGCAGAAGAGTCTGACATCCCTGTCCTCAAGGCCACCATGGTGTTCATCGTTTCTGTGGCCAAATCTTGCGATATGGAACTGTTCAACTATATCATGGACACCCTGAAAGGTATTGTCCCGGACGATCGAGTTACGTCTCCTGTCGTAGGCTCCACGCCGATAATCCCCAGCCTCGACGGCGACCCCGAAAGACGCAATCAGTTGTCCGAGGAATCGCCCTCAAATACTGTGACGCGAGCTTATGTCGCCATGTTCTTACAGTTGATGAATTCTCATCATGAAAAGAGTGTTTCACTATTCAAGGTTTTGGTTAACGTTGTCAAATCAAACCACTGCGAAGTTGACGCGCGGTTATCTGCTATGAAGCTGCTATTCAGACTCCGTGCCGACTGGGCCTACAGAATATACGTCACTAACGATCTGGATATTGATTTTCTGGCGTCTTCAATTTGTCGCACAGAGGCGGCTCTCGTCAAGAAAAAGAGCGAAGAAGCCGCGGAGACGATACGCCTCGCTCGAAACGACCACACAACCCAAGGTCGCCCGGCAAGAGGCGTCTCGTTCAGCCACAGTGACAGAGGAATACCTGTTCGAGCAGCAAGTGGTACGAGTGTCAGAGTGACAGCTAGACATCGACAGCTTTGGCAGTATCCTGATTCGAAGGCTTTGCCTTGCGAAGCTCCCGCCACAATTAGCCCCATCCTGGTGTCTCATGTAGAGTCAGACGAGTCGACAGATTCATCCTCCTCGGCCTCGTCCGCGCCGGCAACGACCAAGGCACTAGACATTGCTGCATGGATGGATGGGATTCTTTCCATACTGCAGGGTGCTAACTGGGAAGTATATAGCTTCGTGCTGGTACACTTGCCGCTGCAGCTCAGCAATCATGCCATTTTTCAGGCCGCTGTTCCGCAAGTACAGGATTTACGCAAGGTATTGTGCGATCATTTGCGAACAAATACGCTTCCCGAACCGCCAAATATACATGGTCTCAGAAAGGCAGATGTAGCTATTTGTCTATATCAAAGTCTGACAATGATTCTAAGCTACCACGAACACTTTCAAAAGTCCGAGGAGGACGAAATTGTCAAGACTTTTGCACAGGGCATTTCCGGATGGGAACGCTCTGCCAAGGCATGCATCCATGCGCTCTCAATCTGCTGTCACGAGCTTCCACTATCGATGAGCAAATCGTTGGTCCAAATATTGACGCAGATGGCGCAGATTATCACGCAGCCGCACGTGTCTGTCCATATTCTGGAGTTTCTCTCATGCTTAAGCCGAATGCACAACGTTCATGTCAACTTCAGGGAAGAAGAGTTCCGCACAGTTTTGGGCATTTGTTTTCGATATCTTGACTACGCAAGAGAAAAGCGACATTCCAACCGGAGCAGCAGAGCCAGCGAGGCATCAACACCTGTAACACCTCAATCTGGCCATCCCGAAACTAGCAACAGCCCTCCATCAGACGACTTGCCGCAATACGTGCACGCCATTGCCTACCATGCCATCATATTTTGGTTCTTGGCCCTTAAGCTGCCTGATAGGGCCAACCATGTATCATGGATTGTTAGAAAGCTGTTCACCGATATGGATGGGCCAAGCCAACAAGTTGAAGAGCAAGCTGTGACTTCCGTCGACTTTATGCAGCGTGTGACGTATGCCGATGCGGATGAATCTGCCAAGGACCCGTACTTTACGGAAGACCGGTTTGGTCCGATCGGGAAAAAGCGATGGCTCATAGGAAACAGCATTGTAACCGTGAAGCAGGCCGCACTCACAGGCTGGGCACATGTGGTCAAAAGACAGCCGTCGGGTACTTCGGCCTACACAATTCGAGAAGCCTATCGACCGCCGCCGCTACACCAAATTGAGAATCACTTAGACATTGGCAGGGAAGGCCAATCGACGAGCCATGCGATCTTGCCGAATCACATCCTGGTGCAACTACTGTCGCCTATTCCGCAGGGCTTTGACGGTGCTCGACCTATTACACTACCAGATGACGATGCTGTTGATCGAGCTATTCGCGTCTTTGATCGAAGCTCTAGCCTTGATGGACACAAGGTTGGGGTAATCTACATTGGCGAAGAGCAGACTGATGAGACTGAAATTCTGGCCAACATGTCCGGAAGCAGCGACTACATTGAGTTCCTCAACAACCTGGGCACTCTGACCAGACTCAAGGGGGCCACATTCAATACCCAGGGACTGGATCGCGAATACGACTCGGATGGCGAGTACACATTTTGTTGGCGTGATAGAGTGACCGAGATTGTGTTCCACGTCACGACGCAAATGCCAACCAACCTTGAGCGGGATCCTTCTTGTACCAACAAGAAGCGGCATATTGGGAATGACTTCGTCAACATCATTTTCAATGACTCTGGCAACCCTTTCAAATTTGATACCTTTCCCAGTCAGTTCAACTTTGTCAACATTGTCATCACCCCGGCCTCGCGAGCCTCGTTCATCGTCCGACGAGAGACAAAGCCCGAGACAGATTTGGGTCAACCATTCTACATGGTGAAGGTCATGAGCAAGCCGGGGTTTCCGCCGATTTCGCCGGCGTCAGAAACCAAGATGGTATCGTTGAAAGCGCTACCCGGGTTTATTCGACTGCTGTCACTCAATGCGAGCATGTTCGCGATGGTGTGGCACAGCCAGGAAGGCGGAGAGCATATTTCTTCTTGGACCAGTCGTCTTCGCGAAATTAAACGTTTGCGGGAACGCTATGGAACTAAGAATGTGGCTGTGGCTCCTTCGCCTCCCGGGACATCCTTGTCGGGTGGCCCAACACCAGGATCCGGAGATGGCTCGCGACCAAGCAGTAGTGTGCGAGACAGTCTAAACAGCCTTCGCCGAACCAGTGTGGCGACATTTTTCACCAGCACTAGTGAACAGACGTCTCATCGGTCGTCTGTCCTATCTACATCTACAACCACCAACGACACGGAGGTTGGGCTTTTGGCCAATCCTGCCTGTTCTGTTGTGGATTCTGTAGACTTCACGAAATGGGCCTCTTAGCCAGAGCTATTTTTCCTTTTGTATTGATGACCGGAAAAAGGGCGGGTCGGAATCTGCTTGCGGGCTGCGGCAGCGGACAACAAAAAGTATGGGAGGCGTAAAGTGATTTGATTGTTGAATTTCAGGGGCTAATGTATAAATGTCTTGGGAGTTGCCCTGTTCGAATCGTGCTCAAAGTTTTGTATTTTGCATACTATTATACCACTTTGCTTGACTGCAGGGGGGAGCCTGTCATTTTATTAGTGAAAGGGTTCACGGATAGCAATTTGACCGGTCCTTGGGACTATTTGAGATGTCAATGTTTTTCTTACTTATACTGAAGTGTAACTAGCTGAAGTCGATGCATCGCGCAACAGTACAGCCACATACTACAAGCAGCTGCAACCATGGTACTTTGACAAAACTACCGTGATAATCTCAGAGAAAAGACCAAAGAAGCTGACTCCCGCGTACTCACACTAAACTAACTAATTGGGCGGTGTTGCGAAATCTGTTCCATCACACACGTTCACGTGCTCGACTTCAGGGTAGCCCAGTGGGTGTTGGTGCAAATATGGGCGGCCCAGTAAACACCAACGCGTCCTGTTTGCACCCAAACCACGCGCCTCATCTGTCAACGTCGGGGAAACGTGAAGACATGATCTGAAACTCACGAAATACGATGCACAACTCATAACCTATTCGGAGACTTTATAAAATTGTCGGACTAGACATTATTTCGCTGTGGGAGGCCGCGCGCCACGATGCCTGCTTCTGGAGACGATGAGATTACCAACTTGGTCGCAGACATAGTTACCGGTATGAGACGCTCACCCACCCGCGCCGCTTTCAATATCCGAAAAATAAAATAAAAAATACTGGACTTGCACGCGAAGAAAAACCCCAGTCTTCCCGGAACCCTCTTGCTAACACACATCTGCCAGCCTCGAAGCTGGCCCCCAAGGCACGCGCGACGCTCATCAAGCCCGCCGTCACTAGCCTGGCATCGCTCGCGTACGAGCGCGGGCTGCTCCCCGCAGCGCTCGACGAGCTGCTGACCCTCGTCACGACGCCGAGCCTGCTGGACCAGGCAAGCCTAGGCGTGCTGCTGCGCGGGCTGTACCCGGTGACGCGGGTGTCGGGCGCGAGCGCGCTGCGCGTCGTGGGCGCCCTGGGCCACGGCCGGCTCAAGCCGTCCATGGCGATACAGGCGCTGCTGTTGCGCTGGCTCACCATGGTGTACCACGTGCTCGAGGCGCCAGGCGTCTTGTCACAGGCGTACCCCGTGCTGTTCAACCTGCTCGACACGGCGGCCATTCGACCCCAGCTCACGCATCTCCTGGCGCTGATTACGAGGAGGAAGCACGTGCGGCCGTTTCGAATTCAAAATTTGTAGGTTCCTGATGGGACTGGTGGGGGATTGGAAACTGACGATAAGAACAGATTAAATCTATCGCGGCAGACGGGCAATGATCCGACGCTGGTCGGCTTGCTGCGCGTATACAAAGACTACTACCCGGAAATCATCGTCGGCGAGGCAGTACGTGGGCGTGCCTCTGCATTCAAGGTACGGCGGAAATGGACCAGACGCTGTGAGAAAAGAAGAGCTAACTTGGAGTAGCATCCTGATCCGGCATGGCGAGAAAGGCTGGACGAGTTGCAAGAGGCGCACCTGCAACAGACGCAAGAGCGCATAGCGCGTCCGCGAGACGCTTTCCGCGTCCACAAGACTGTTGGACGTGGCCAACGGAACAAGGCACTGCCGTCTGTCCACACAACGCACGCGACCGAGGTACGCTAATACAATACCGACATTGATATAGACATTGACATGGATATGCGACTAGGACTCCGTCACGCTGGAAGAAATCGAAAATGTGCAGAGCTTTGTCGAAAAGATAGACAAGCTCGAGCTGCCAAACCAGCTGGTCGCCGTGCTGGCCGATCCTCTGCTCCAAAAGCTGCTGCTGCTGCGGCCTAGTGCCGAGTCGTTTCTGCGTGTCGCCAACTGGCTGACCTCGGCGCTGCAGGATGTACGCGACGGTGACGCGGACGAGGCCACGCTGTGGGAGATTATGGAGGTTGTGCGGGACTTTGTCGTGCAGACCAAGGCAAGGCTGAGACGAAACCCCAGAGTATTGCTAGTAACTAATGAATGGCACAGGCCTTGCCGTCCACCATCATCAACTTTTTTGCGAGCTTCTTCCAGATCTGGAGCGGTTCGGGAAACAAGACTTGCATTTTTCAGATTCTGGCGTACACGCCTCTCTACGACTTCCAAGGTAAGCATTCACCCCCGTTGTCACAGAGGCCCCAAGGACTGACTGACAATGACAAGAACTATACCGGCATGTTTTTCAACCTCTTGAAGCTGCCGTTGCCGATAACCAGTCCGCCACACAGCTAGGGCTGCTCAACATGTATACCAACTTGATACACCACTGGGCTTCTGTCTTGCGGTCCAGCAAGACTATCCCAGCACATGCCAGCCGCACCATCACCAACATGGTGCAACACGCCGGCACGCTCGCCCTCACCCTACTACAGACCAGCCCCACGCTGTCTAGCGAGTCGGCCATTCTCACCTTTTACGAGCAGAACCTGGCGCTGCTGACCGACGACACGCTCAAAAACTACATTTGCATCGAGCTGCCGCCGTCGGTGCTCATCTACCTGCTCGTCTTTAGCCAGTCGCTCGCCACCGTGGCGCGGCTGTGCCACATCATGGCCTCGTACAAGAAGGGCTTCGAGACGGCCATGAAGGTTCGCGGCCGCACCGACACGGCGACGATTGACGCCTCGTCGTACACGCACACCGACGTGAACCGGTACAACGGCAACCTGCTCGACATTGTCAACCTGCACTGGCGGATGCACGCGTTTGGCGTCGACAAGGAGGTGGAGCAGGGCTGCCTGCTGCCGCGGGCGGCGGCCGCGCGGCTCGAGCGCTACGTCACGTCGTCGGTGGACCGCGGCTTCTCGCTGGCGGCGATGCTCTCGCTGTCGTACTCGCCGCTGTTTTGCCTGCAGAGCATCGAGACGCTGCGCGTGCTCGAGGACCGCCAGATCGCCGTCGACGCCGCTATTGAGACGCGCCACGCGGGGCCCGTCTCGCAGGAGAGCCTGCGCAAGCTCGGCACGTCGGGCGGCATCCGCATCGGCTTCAACGGGTACCGGGCTAGCGTCCTGGAGACCCTCAGGGCCAAGGGCATGCCCGGCGTGGAGGAGCTGCTCAAGGTGAGCATGCCGTCGGTGGCCAAGGCGATTGAGAGCTGGGCGGCTAGGGAGGCGTGATGGACTACGTCTGGGCAGTTGCTCGAGCTAGAAGCTACTAACGACGTACACGATGAATGATGAAGATGCGGACTTGCTCCAATTTGTGCCTATATAGAGGTGTAGTAGGTGAGAGTCGATTCCGCGTCCAGTTGAAGTGGACGAGATGTATATCTGTAATATATAATGATGCTCCATGCCCGTTTTGTTGAAGTACAGGGTATCATATGAAAAGAAGATGAGATGCAAGCCGAATCGCTCCAACGACGCATCATGCTAGATGTTGAAAGACGCCAAAATAATAATAATCATGAAATCGTGAGCGCGTGAGCACAGTGTTGAGGTCTGCGCTCCGCTACTCGCGATGCTAGAACGCCCCTAGAAAGAAAACACTGTTCGTTGAATGATGTGTGCCGTAATTCATACCCTTGCAATGCTCCGAAGCGTAGTGTTAAGAGCAGGCGGATCCCCCAAAGATGCCGAATACCGTCGTCGGTGTTTTTAATGTTCAAGTATAAAAACGTTGTAGTTGTGATGCATTACCGAAAGTCGAATGTGTTGAATAAAAACAAGAAGAGAATCGAGGAAGAGAAAAAGACCAAGTAGAAACGCTTAGGCAGCTCTGGGTTTGGACTCATCGCCGTATCCGCCCACGCCTATGCCGCCAAAGCCATACGTCTTGCCCTCCGGGGCGCGGTTGATGCCGCTGCGGGGTCCGCGGGCCTTGAGGTCGTCGCGGAGCCAGGTCATGACGAGCTCGCCGAGGCGGGAGTTGCCGGTGGCGGCGACGGTGCCGTCAATAGTGGCGAGCATGGCGTCGGCCGTGTCCCACTCCTTGACGGAGCCCATGTGCATGTGGACGAGGTGTGTGGGCCAGCCGGCGAGGTTGTCGAGGATGTGGGTGGCGTAGACGACGGTGCACTCGCGCGTGAGCGTCTCGTTCTTGAGCCAGGCGAGGAACTCGGCGCGGCTGAGGACGTCGAGGTCGACGGTGATTTCGTCGAGGAAGAGCACGGTCCAGGGGCGGACCAGGCCCATGGCGAGCTGGACGCGGCGGCGCTCGCCGTCGGAGACGGCGTGCATGCGCCAGTTGGTGTCAATGTCGAGCATGGCGACGAGCTCGTCGCGGCGCGCCGGGTAGGCGTCGCCGCCGACGCTGCGCAGCAGCTCGTGCACGCCCATGTCGGTCCGCACAATCGGGTTGAGCACCCACTCGAGCCCGAGGTACGTGACGCCCTCGAGCCCCTCGTGGAACGGGTCGACGCCGCCAATCGAGATGGTGCCGAGCGGGCAGAGACGCTTGCCGGCGAGGAGCCGCAGAAGAGTCGTCTTGCCGGCGCCGTTGGCGCCGATGAGGAGCGTGCGCGAGCGCGGCGGCAGCGACAGCGAAATGTTGGACACGCCCGTCGAGGAGTCGGGAAAGGTATAGGAGAGGTCGGTGACGTTGATCGACGGCGGGTTCGGCATGGCGGCGGCGGCGGCGGTGGGTGGCGGTGATGAGAGATTGGGGGGAGGAGGTTGGAACGAGGTTGTTGTGAAGAGGGAAGAGGGAAGAGGGAGAAGAGTCGAGCTTGCGTGTAAAGGAAAACAGGCCATCGTGAGCTGTCAATATGGTGGGGTAGAAAAGCACGGGCGGAAGAAGGCGGTCGGCCCTGCGGAAGAGAGCGGGCGGCCCTAAATTAGTAATTTTTTCAAATTATAAAGTGACAATTATGATGCAAGAATATTGAGTGCTAGTAGAGATCGACAAAAGGAAAGGAGTGATTAGAGGGCATTTTGTCAGTTTGAAGAATACCGATCGTAGAGTTCGGCTGATGCGTGCAGATCAGGGTCCATCATGCATGTCTTCCATGCATTGCACCTGCGCCACATTATGTTATTGAAAGAAAGCTGTCAGGGGTTCGAATTCAGCTGAGAGTAATACTGCCTTCAAAGAACTCAATCTGTTCAATTCTTTACGATACATAGTGGCCGTGGCTATTGCCCGGTGACGTCGGCCCTCGAGTTGCCTTCGTAGACCCTTGGGTGACAACTTTGAAAAGTAAACTTTATAAGATAGATTGGAATCTGAATCTTGCCAAGAACCCCAGACAGCAAGCAACCGGAAATTAGACTGGAGAGCCGGTGGCAGAACCGCTCGTCGGTCTTGATAGCCGGCCAGCCTCCTCCACAGCGCCACTTTACGCGCCAACTGGGGCGTCGCGTAAAACGCGGGTACCTCGTCTGCAACTTATTCTTTATACCACCCAACTTGCGACTGCGTCTGGCATACACCGACATATCTCCAAACTTGACTTCCGTGGCTCTTGCTTCCCATTACTTCTTTCTTGCGTCTGAATAGATTTATCTTTCCATCGCGCGGACACCCGCCAGCCCCGGCCATGGTGACCCTCGAGGAGGTGTCTGGGAGCTTGCTCCAAAAACCATCGTGAGCTCCCCTTGTCCCATGCGCCGACAATTTCACGGCTCTAATATATCTGGAATAACCCTCATGCTAACCATGCCCTCCCCAGCGACACACCCCTCTCCATGCCGCCGCGCGACGAGTCCTCCTACAAGCCCCTCGCGACCTTTGCCCTCGACAAGCAGCGCTCCTACAAGCAGCAGTACGGCGACATGTACTTTCTGCGCCTCACCAAGATCAAGCCCGTCGTCGAGCAGGTCGCGGCGGCCGCCTGGGCCGGCACCACCATTGGCGGCGAGACGGCCGGCAAGGTGGACCGCGTGCTGGACGTGCGCCAGGGCGAGCTCTGCTGGGTCGCGGGCACCGTCTACATGGACATGGCGCTCAAGCCCAACATTCTCGAAGACGTGTCCAAGGATGTGCGTCGCTGCCCCCCCCCCTACCCCGTCATATATGCGTACCTTGTGCTAACATGACCACGGGTGGCAGCGCTGGCTGTCCGCGCCCATCTCGACGCAAAAGTACTACTCGGACGACGGCACCGACCAGGTCACCCTCGAAGACGACTCGGGCCGCGTCCGGCTCGTTGGCGACGTGCTCAAGACGGTCCCGCTCGTGACGGGCTGCATCATTGCCGTCATGGGCACCGAGAACACGAGCGGCGAGTTTGAGGTGCTGGACCTCAAGTTCCCCGACCTGCCGCCGCAGCCCGCGCGCTGGGCTCTCGGGACCGCAGACGGCACGCACAAGCAGCAAGACACGGAAATGACAGACAGCGGCGGCGGCAGCGACGCGCCGAGCACCAACCACAAGCAAATCGCCATTGTGTCTGGCCTGTCGTTTTCCGGCGCCGACGCCTCGTGCGCCGTCGAGGTCGACCTGCTCCTCGAGTACCTCCTCGGCGAGAGCCTCAGCCCGGACGCGCAGTCGCAGGCGTCCCGCATCAGCCGGTTCATCATTGCCGGCGACTCCATCAGCGCCGCCGCCGCCGCAGCCCCCGACGACGACAACGACGACACAAAGGCAGCAGCAGCAGCAGGGCCGTCGTCGAGCAAAAAGTACGGCTACGACGCGAGCACCTACAACGCGCTGCCGTCGCAGCTCTTTGACGAGTTCGTCAGCGCGCTGCTGCCGTCGCTGCCCGTCACGCTGCTGCCCGGCGCGCGCGACCCGGCCAATGCCAGCTACCCGCAGCAGCCGCTGCACACGGCGCTGTTTCCGTCGGCGCGGGCGTTTGGCGCGGATCCGAGCGCCGGCGCGGCGGCTGCGCCGGGGTGGTTCGACAGCGTGACGAATCCCTGGGAGGCCGAGGTCGAGGGATGGCGCGTGCTCGGCACCGGCGGGCAAAACGTGGACGACGTCTTCAAGTACGTCGACAGCGACGACAGGCTGGGCATGATGGAGGCCATGTGCCGGTGGCGGTGCTGCGCGCCGACTGCGCCGGATACGCTGTGTACGTTTTTTCTTCCTTCTCTTCTACCCGTCCTGATATTCTTTGTGTGTTTTGCGACATGGGCTAATGTGCGATATTTCCGCCGCAGGGAGCTACCCCTTTCAGGACGACGACCCGTTTGTGCTCAACGCCTGCCCGCACCTGTACTTTGTCGGCAACCAGCCCGCGTTTGGCACGCGTCTGATTCACGGGCCCGACGGGCAGAGCGTGCGCCTCGTCGCGGTGCCGTCGTTTGCGGTGTCCAAGGAGATTGTGCTGGTGGACATGGAGACGCTCGACGTGACCAAGGTCAAGATTGAGACGTCGTAGGAGGGGGTTTGCCGAGGGAAGACAGAAATTTAAGCAAGATATGTGGTCATGACTAGTTATAATGTTTCAAAAAGATTCATTTTGCTCTCATTATCACATAAAATCTGGATTGATCATAAGCCAATTTGCTGTAAGTGGAATATTCAGTGTCCCACGAATCCTTCTTGGTGGTGTACTGGACTGGGTGAAGCTGAAAGCAAAAGAAACCCCAAACTCAACATTCCCAACCTAAGCAAGCCATATACCACCCCCCAAACTTCATCCCCCCCTGTATCGCCCTTACTCTTCATAGTCTTCATCATCCTCATCGTCCTGCTCCACCAGAATCTCCTCTTCCTCCGCCTCCTCCTCCCACCCGTCCCCGTCCTCCTCCCCGCTCGACTCGTCCTCTTCGCCCTCGCCGCCCTTGGGCCCCCCGCGCTCTCCATACACCGGATCCCAGCAGACGGCCTCGAGCGTGTCTCTGAGCCGGGCAAACTGCTCCTCCATGGCGGCCACGCGCGCCGCCCTGTCCTCCTGCATGGCGTCGTCAGCGGCCCACGGATCCGCGTACCCCGAGTCCCTGACCAGGCGGTCGACCTGGTTGTGGTACATGCTCAGCTCGTGCGCAAAGCTCGGCGGCCCCTGCTCCTCCTCCTCGGCAGCGCGCAGACGACGGCGCGAGGGGCGGCCGCGCGCATTCGCCAGCGGCGGCGGCAGCAGCCGCACCACGAGCGCGTCGCACGACAGCGCCCGGACGGCGCGCATCAGCGGCGCGTGCTCCGCGAACCAGCTCAGGAACGTAAAGTCGCCGCCGCCGTGGCGCGGGGGCCGGCCGGCGAGCCC